TTATTGGAGATACCACATCAAGAACAAGATCCAGTTGAAATTTTCTCGGGACCTCCTACAGGGCCTTTAAAAGTTGCATTTAACTGGATTATAAAACGTTTTTAAAGATAAAAAAAAATTTTTGACAAACCTAAAGTATTGCTTTGTGATTTTGATATCATCAAATCAAATATCTCTATTTGACGATAAAAAGTCTTTATTAGAAAATCAAATGAATATACAATAAAAAACAATATAATATTTATAGGAATACGTATATGTATGATAATACAAACTATAGAAATCAAAGCCTTAAACGGTTTAGCTGGATTTTAAATGCTTGTATGATTCTTATGTGAATTTATATATTATGTATGTAGTCCCCAAAAACGCGAACCGAAATGATTTTTCGATTTTGAAAACACTAACTCTACTAAACTACCGCAGTAATATCATGAGTTAGCTAGCAATTTAACAAATTTTTGAATATTTGCATCTTCGAAACGATCTTAATATTGATTGAATAATATTAGGTGTACAAAAAAGTTCTGAGCTTTTTTTTGTAAAATTCAATCTTTATTCAAAAACAAACGAAAAAATATTAATCAGCGAAATATTCTCCGTTTGCATCAACGACCTTTTGCCATATTTCGGGGAGCTTGCGAATTCCTTGACGATAGAAACTCACCGGCTTCGAAGCGATAAAGTCATCAATGCATTTTCGTATCTCTTCTAATCTCACGAAATGTGTATCAGCCAAATGATGCTGCAGCGACCGGAATAGGTAGTAATCGGAAGGCGCCATGTCTGGGCTATACGCCGCGTGCGGAAGAAGTTCCCAGCCTAACGCAAAGATATGGTCCTGAGTCGCTTTCGCAACATGAGATCGAGCATTGTCATGAAGCAAGATCACTTTACGACGTCCTTGGCCAGTAAATGGCCTCTTTTCTTCTAATGCATCGCTCAAATTGGTCAATTGTTGTTGGTAGCGGTCTGCCGTGACTGTTTCACCCGGTTGTAACAACTCGTAGTACAACACACCCTTCCAATCCCACCAGATACAGAGGAAAACCTTCTTGGCGTGGATATTGGGCTTTGGCGTCGATGTCGAAGGTTGACCCAGGATCAACCCATGATTTTCTACGTTTAGGGTTATCATAAAGAATCCACTTTTCATCGCCTGTAATGATTTTGTGCAGAAAATCTTTTTTCCGGAACTTTGAAAGTAAAGTGAGTACAGTGTCACGCCGTCGATTTTTGTTGTCTTCGGACAATTCATGCGGAACCCATCTGCCTTCCTTCTGAACCTTTCCCATCGTATGTAATCGTACGGAAATGGCTTGCTGCGTAACGCCAAGCTGTTCTGCAAGCTCCTTTTCAGTTTGCGCAGAGTTTATATCCAGCAGTGCTTGCAATTCGTCCGTTTCAATCTTTTCAGGACGTCCAGCACGCGATTCATCTTTAAGACTGAAATCTTGGCGAAACTTTTGATACCATCTTTTACATGTAGCATGACTTACAGCGTTCTCTCCATATGCAGCACAAATCATTGCAGTGGCTTCAGCAGCATTTTTCTTCAGATGAAACGCGAAGTGGATAGAAAATCGAATATGCTCTTTTGTTATTGCCATCGTGAACACTACTGATTTTTGAGGTTATGTGCATCAAACGCCAAACCGTATGGCATTTTAGAAGGCCAAATGTTAACGCTTTAAAACCGCAAAAGGGCGGAAAGATATATAAAATTTAAATTGTTATTTCGGTTGTATCAAATCTAAAGCTCAGAACTTTTTTGTACACCTAATATATTAAAATCTGTAAATAATTAATTCTTGAAAAAATATACAATTGCGAACTGCCAAGTGTATACGCCTACCAATCACTTGGTGCGCGAGCCATAAGGAACGGGGATAGCCTGGCAAACGCGCCATCCGAGTATAGACCATCCCTGCTCGCCATGGCCTGAGCGTGTTCGAAAGTGTTCCCTATTTTTTGTTGAGTAATATATAACTTTGGAAAAATAACACAAAAATTGAAAATTTAATTATTTAAACAAAATGGCATGTGTAATTTTCAACGTTATCAGTTCCATCGCATTTTTCATGGACCTATTCAGAATACAGGCAGTAATAAAATCACCCAGTCGACACAAACTAAAAATAACACAATATCAATGTTATAATTTCGCACTCTACAATGTAACTGTTATATAACACCATATTACACTACATTTGTATTGTGGAATACGAAATTACGACATTGATGTTATTTTTAATTTGTCGACTAGGCACAATTCCATGTCTTTCGAATTCATCGCAAATAGTGCACTTTTTATTAGAAAAAAACCTTAAGGGGTTAGGCCACAGTAAAATTTTCAAAAATTCGAATTTTTTTTTTTTTTGCTTAAATGATACTTTAAGATCTTAGAACTAAGATACAAAATGTTTCATAAATAGGAAAAGTTTGTAACAGCTCATTAAGAGGATTTTGCCGAGGCACCTCCCAGCACGCGTAAAATGCCTTGAGCGCCTTTGACGTGTTCTATTATGCTTGTATTTTTGTGGATCTATAGAGACTTTGTATTAACCAGTTGAAAGAAATTTTAATAGTTTTCTGTACTCATAGAGAGCACAAGAAAATATATTTCGTATATATAATATTTCGTATATAGCATTTAACTCGTTTTCGAAATATAAAAAAATCTGTAAAAGGCCTCGGAGATAAATTAACAGGCAAACTTATTGATGAGTTATCTGTATATTATGGATTTGCTATTCATCGAAATACAAATTCCACAGAAAAAAATGAAGAATGACATCTGGGCGATGCTTTATCATAAGATGTCAACAAATAAAAAATAAAAGTGTCCGCAACACACTAAATGCCCGTCCGGTAAAGATTCTTGATGTTCATGGCAGAAAGCGAAGGCAATTAATACGTTGGAGGATTACCAACACAAGCCACCTTTTTCTCAAATAGTTTTTGATTCAATTAAGCCACTTTATGAAGAACTAAACAATGATAAATTGTTAAATCGATGTATAGGCGGCTATACACAGAATAGTAATAAAAGTTTCAACGCAACTGTTCGGAATTTAGCTCAGAAATCTGTGTCTAGCGGCAAACATATCCTTGATATGGCCAGCAATATTACTGTGTCTACAACGATGGCTTAATTAATATTATGAGGATTATGGAAGTATTGGACATCACAATTGGGATCAATTGCTACAATTTCTGTACGGAAGCCGACAAGTGACGAATAGCAGCTGAGGAATGATCGCTAACTCCAGTTATAAAAGAGGCTCGATTATCTCTGAAATCGTTCAGAAAGGAAAAAGAGAAGAACTTAAATTCAGAAGGGAAATTGTTTGGTCCAGGCATCTCAGGCTGAAGGTAAATAAAAAATTTCTATATTTAAACACTAATGAAACTTTAAACGCGTTTTTCTCAAAAACATATTTTTCAAATCAGACGAAAGGATAACTCGATCAAATCTTTACCGATTCAATTGAAATTTTAACTGCAGCTTTAAAACGACATTTTACATAGAAATACGTAGGGAATTTTAATTTCATTATAAACTATTTTGTTATACAATTTTCTCGTCATTTTTTTGCCTAAAAAAAAATATTTTTGTGCGCCATCTTTGCAAAAACAAAAAAAAGAAATTTTTCTACGTACTTCTATAGAAAAACATGTCTAGATTATAAAAATTTTTGGATTTTTATTCTAGATCAAAAATTATGGAAGAAACTCTTTCGCCCGTGTGATGATGTCAAAATGAAAGGCCTCTACAAGCGGATGCGTATCGCCGTCACTTTTTATTAAAAAAAAATATATGTATATAATAAAGTATATATATAAAAGTATATATCATTATATATATCAATATATATATATACTTAAACTGTAAAAGATAGGCAATGAAGTGATTCACTTGAATTTTCTCTCTTGAATTTCATATGTTCATTCTTCAAAATTCTTCAAAAAGGCTGTTTTTTTCGTGCGCTACTCTGGCCTAATCCTTTAAATTATCCATGTGCACAATTTCCCACTAATTGATAAGAAAAACGATTATTCAAAGATTTTTTAATTTTATTCAATAATAACTCAAAAGAGGCACGATTAAATAAATAAGATAAGAGTACCATCATCTTAAGTTCTGGATGTCAAAGTTACTATCGAAATACATATGTAATTTTACTTTTTCTCACTTTTGCCATTAAAGTGTTTTATACATATTTTCAAAATGATAATAAAATTATAACAAAATTAGATTATTCTAAATTTCGTCACGATAGCGACTCTATTTATCGGAAAAGTGCTAAATCAGAATGCGCACAATTACCTTACTTTCGTAAGTATACATATATACAAGATATCTCTAAAGTCTGATCTTATTCCTAGATCTTGAAAATGACTTTAGATATGGAAAATTGTTTTAGAACAAAAGTTTTAGGGTATAACGGTCACAGATGATAAAAATATGGATCTTGAGTTTTAAGGTCAATATGATCTTAATATTTTCTTAAATTGAACTCCTTCTCCCAGTTTTTAGATAATGCAAATGCCAGCGGTACTGTAACTGTGAAACCTCATGATTTGGAAGATACTCAATAAAAAGTAACATTATTATAGCAATTTGAAAACATCTCGATAAAAGTTATAAGAATATGCAATAAAAAATGAAGAGCTCCATTCACAAAAACATGATCATTGACCTTGAAAAGATATTACTCAAGATTAGGTTCATATTTTTATCTATCCTACATATAATAAAAATCTATCCTTTAATATCCTACATATTTGTCTAAAATGTGTATCCATATCTAAAGCCGTTTCCGAGAATGGGATTCCAGAAATGAGGAGAACTTTAGAGACACCCTGTGTATATAATAACATCTATTTTATTCTTTTTTTTATTAATGATTTTTTAAAAGTCAATAAGAGAATAATTTTAGTAGCAATAATCTAAATTAATACATCATTCAATATTTACTTTAGTAAACATATTACACTTACTTTAAAACATTATTCTGATGTATACATAATTTTCTTAATTTTCTCTCCGTCCGTCGATCTTCCATAGAATATTTTTTTTTAGTTTCATCATAGTTCTGTAGATCTCGAAACAATATTGTGAGTTTTACTGCCGTGTATCGATACTGCGCCGTTAACATTAATACTAAATGCATCATATACACATCCACGCCAAATTTTTTAAGAAATAAATAACTACTTCCAATTGTCATAAAAATGGTTGAAAAAATCAGAACACTGCTGGAAAACGGTTCGCTGTTGAAAGCAGTTGGCAAATTGTAATCTACATAATAAAAGGTGGACTTCTCGAAGACCAATAAAATCGGCTGGATAGTCCATGTCGCAACAGTTACTACACCAGTCACTCCATATATTATGAACGGCATGATTATGGGCTTTATAGCCGATTTTACAATATCCTTCATAATTTCATCCGCACTTTGCAAGATATCGTTCATCTTTTCGATTATTTCCTCCATCAGCTTCTTACGTAAATAAAGACGCGTAAGCATAAAAGATGCCTCCAGGATAATTACGACGGCGATAGTCCCATCCTTCAGACTCTTCTCTTTCGGTGCAAAGATCATCCCGACAATCAACGCGATTGTATGAATCAGTTCTATTAACCATACGGCAGCGCTATGAATGCGCCAGATTACTGAAAATCGCGAATTATCGGATACTATCGGTAATAAATTCCCCGATATCAAGTTCACTCGATTGTTTAAGAAATTGGCATTTTTAAAATCCATTCTTTTCGTATCGTATATTCGTGATGATCTAAAATATTTCGATAATACGACGTGTAAGATATGAAATTCAATTGTTCGTGATTCCAATAATATCTGCCTGACATATCGCTATCGCTTCTTCTTTTATAAATGAAAATGAATGAGTTTTCCTTTATATCAAAATTACATTTAATTCTACATTAAGGAATTTATTATTCCTTTTATTTCTTCCATCTGTTGCTAATACACAATACGAGCAGTTCATATCATGAAAGATGACATTTCTCTCCTTTCATTCTGTTTCTTTATTATGTTTTGACCTCTAATCATTGTACAGATATATTAAGTATTAAATATTGCCGGATCATATCTTTGACGAAGATAATTTTATAATGTTCTGTATTCTATTGTAATGAAAACATAGAGAAGTTTGTAAAAGTCACTATATACATGATACATGAGTTCATTGAATGTGGGCTTATATTTTTTGACTCTGTTTATCGAGAGTATAAATAATTATTAAGTTCTTTATCCCTATACCGTCGCGGCAATTATCTTATGCTCTGTCAAACATTGTAGAACCGAGAGGCTTCGCAGAACACTGTCTAATACAGCAATTGGAATGAACTGCGTATACAATAAGCAACAGCAGATGAATATAAATATTTGAAGTCTTATCCACGGTACTAATTAACCCATATTTTTACGATCGATATTTTTACGGTAAGTTAAAAAAAATAAAATCTAAGTGTACCTTTGCATAATAATTAGTACCAAGTTATAATACCAAAAAAATGCGTTATTTTATTCGAACGAAGTGATACGTATCTACACGCTTGGCGAGGGATTTTGCTTTCCAATATATATGCAACACACATAACATTATGATTGAAACATAGAATATAATATTTTTTAATTAAAAATAAATAATGCTAAAGATTTTTTAGAATTAATTTAATGTCACCACTTAAAAAAAATACAACATTCGTGCGAGAATAGAACAACAATAGAAAACATCATTAATGTACTTAAAACCTACTAAAATATTTATAAAAGAAAATTCACAAGTTCTATTCACGCACGCGGATAAAGGCAACACAATGGTTGCCATCGACAAAACAGATTACTTTGAGAAAATGGAACTAATGTTGTCAGATTCAAATACATATTCAATTGTTGAACACAATCCTGCTAACATTAATTTTTCGTTTGAAATAATCGAAGGAATATTCTTAAACGTTTATTTGACGTTTATTAAATGTTAATTTATGTTATTTATTTATTTACGTTATTTATTTATTTAAAATATGATTTAAAAAACATTTATTTAACGTTATCTGACGTTTAATATAAATGTTTAAAAAATTTTATTATTTTCTAAAATTCAAATTAATAAAAAACGAGTTGGAATAAAAAAATAATCACGAAAGAGTAATCAACCCAATATAATTAAGTGTATCATTTACGGACAATAAGAACTGTGTCTATTAACACTTATAAGTGGTGTAAGATATGAGACGGATAAGATATGAGACTCATAACCCTGAGATTCCAAGTTCAAAATCCAGTAAGTAAAGAGATAAAAATATAATTAAACATTACAATTCATTAATAAAATTAATCGTTTAAGGTTACAGGTACTGTCGATAAAAAATAATAAATTAAAAAGATTTCTGCGTTGTACAATATTTTTTCTAATTTTGTTCACATAACATTTATAACATTAAAAAAACGTTTCTTTTAACATTAAAAAAATTTCTAAAAATTTCTATAAACGTTTGAATAAACATTTTTTTAATGAAAAAAAGGGGACTTTTCTTGTTATTTTAAACGTTACTTTCATCATAAAAACATTTTCGACAAATCTTAAAAAAGCGTTTTTCATATAAAAAACATTTTCTTAAAATAATCCTATATGTAAAAGGCATACACTACTACGCAAGATCTTGGAAGCGAAATAACAGTTTAAATCAAGAAAAAAAAATATATATATACAGGGTGGCATGAATATACGGCCCACTCGTCCCGAGCAGGTAGAGTGGACTAAACTGAGTAGAAAAATCCTCTACCATTTTGTAATGCTCGCAATAATTAACGAGATATTAACGTTTAAAGATAGCCGAATACGCGCGTCCGCTCGATTTACTATTGTCAAAGGTACGGCCCACCTAGCAGGGGCTTACCGTCGCGATCATCCAAGCTCAAACGGCGCGTCTGTGTGTCGCTTGGCGGTCTCTTCCGGAAACTTTTTGATCAATCGGGTGTACATATATATATATATATATATATATATATATACAGGATTGGCCATATTCGACGGAAAGATCTGGCAACACTGTAACTTTTGACAGAGATGTTAGATCGAGTAACGACGTTTCCCATGATTGAAAAAAAAAACATCTTTCCGTCGAATATGGCCAACCCTGTATATATATATAGACGTTTCGGTCTTGATTAGGTCATCTTCAGTATAAATTCATAAACAAAACATGACATTAATTACAGTACATTGAATACATATTACATGAAAATTTGTCCAATTTACAGATTTGTTAATTATTACTACTTAAAACGCTCGTTTAGATTTTGATGAACACGTAATTTTGTTCTATGTTAATCGATGTGGTGCTATGTGTTGTTTCTTGTTGAAATTAATTTAACTTGTGCAACGAAGCATAATTTCCAAATTCTATTTCGCAAATAATTTCTCAATTAAAATTACAAACAAAATGAAAAAGTGTTAGATTTCTATACCTGCTTCCAAACCACAATTTAAGAAACTATTATTTATGACAATAGGATACTCACAGTATAGTAAATTCACAAATTTCGATTACTGTCTGTGACATTTATCATGAGCTCCTTGTTTTTATACTTAAACATCAATAGAGAGAGAGTAATTATTGTGGAGAGTCGACATGATATTGAGTATAGGGAAATATACATCTGGAAGACGATTTGTATCACCTTGTTTGTTGTTTAAAGACATAGTTTGTTTTTTTATGAAGATCATTTCAGAGATTAATCTTTTTTTGAAAAGTCGATTCAGAATCTAATATTTGAATATTATATCAATTTAAATTATGTTTATGATTTACTTGATGAAGAGATACTACTGACAGTGATTCTAAGGATTTTTTTTATATTGAATTTATGTTCCTGTATCCTTTTTAATTTCCGTTTTGTTTGTCCTACATATGTAGAATTACAATCTAAACAACTGATTTTGTAAATAACATTACATTGCTCTGTTTTTTCCAGTTTGTCTTTATCTAATTTTATGAATTTATTTAGTTTATTCATCGGTTTATATGCTATATTAAGATTATTTTTTTCCGCGATCGTTTTAAATTTTTCTGAGATTTCATTGACATATGGAATTGGAAAGAACTTTTTTATATTATCGATTGAACATTATTATAAAGGTTTGTTCGTTTTGACAGATTCTGTTATTTATGGCAGAAAATATTATATCTAAAGGATAATCATTTTTTAATAATTCTTTAATCATGTTTGAAATGTTCTTATTGTGATATTTTGGATGCAAAAGAAATATAATCTTATCCAATTGCTCTATAATTACACCCTTTTTATGGGTGATGGGATAGTTGAATTTATAGCTTAAAAATCTGCCGGTGTTCGTCGGTTTTTTGAATATATCGATTTTTATGTGGCCACTCTCTAACTTTATTGTAACGTCCAGAAATATTACTTAAATTAATGATCTATTCGTTGTTAATATTTTTTAATTTAAAATCTTCATATTCCATCGGATTGATGACAACATGAAATAAAGAGTCATTAATTATCTCTAAAAATTTCGTTTCGTATAATGAAATGTCATTTTTGAAGGAGTAAAACATGTATTGTTATTATTATTAATACTTATAAATTTATTATTATTCTCAATAATATCAAATTTCCTATCATTATCATTCATCTTATTATAATCAGTATTATTATTACTTTTTGCTTTAGATCAAGATAGATTGAACCTGATAGGTTTTATAGTTTTCTTTTTGTATAGATAAGACAATTCGCAGATTATGCAGTTTTTGATTAATAATTTTATTAAATTTTCTAAACCAAATTTGGTTAAAATTTTCTTGTTGATGGAGAAAAGAAAAAGACACATCACCAGGTAAAGAATAAGAAATTATTCTATGATGTTTAAATAATTAATTCTTTAGGGGATTTCAAAGAGAACTTTTTACGTTATTTTAAACATTTTAAAATCGTTTTTTTTTAATGTTTTCAAAAATTTTTTTTCAAACATTTTTTCTCTATTGGAGATTTCTGTGATAGTAGTGTTTCTAGATTATAAGGAGATATTGGTCTTTTAAAGACTGTAATATATATCAAGATTTCAAAATTCTAAAATCTAACGATTGGGAAACGGAGAGAAATCTCATTATTTAACTTATCCTTTAACAGTCATTTAGCGATGCTAACCCTTTAATAGTGTATGTTTCGGTAAGCAACATTGTTCGAGATCGGTAATTCGAAAGAAAAGCAAGAATTCTTTCAGTCGATCGACATTAATTGTCATTGAACGCATGCACAAATTGAGCTCGTGATTTCATCTCAAACATGATTTTAATCCTCGTTAAAATCATCAAATTCGTCGTTCTTTGTTCTTTTTAAAAACAATTCGTTTTGCGCAACACGCAAACAAGTTGTCGTTACCGGCAACGGACAATCGAAAGTTCTAGAACGATTCAATTCGCGCACGCGAGCGCCGCGCTCCGACGAATACGTCACGCGCTGTCACCAATCCCACGCACGGATTTTCTGTCGCGCATGACTGTTACGTTGAACGTCGCTAGAAAAGAATCCAAAGCGCCAATCAATTTTGT